CAGATCTTACATGCATTTCTTTTCCTTTCCTTCCCTTCCTTCCTTCCTTCCTTCCTTCCTTCCTTCCTTCCTTCCTTCCTTCCTTCCTTCCTTCCTTCCTTCCAAGGTTATCTTTTTTATTTATTTTAGAGAGAGATGAAGAGGGAGAGGGAAAGAGCGAAACATTGATCTGCTGCCTCCTGCATGCCCCCTACTGGGGATCAAGCCCACAACCCAGGCATGTGTCCTGAATGAGAATCTGGGAATTGAATCCGGGACCTCTGAGTGCATGGGAGGACTTTCAACCAACTAAGCATCACCAGGCTGGGCTTATGCATTTCCCTTTTCTATCTCATGTCTCTACCAAAGTAGTGGGCAGATTGGAAACTGGCCCCTGCCTGAGGGCCAGAGTACATTTTTTGAATCACTTTCCAACCTTTAAAAATGGGAAGATTTCCTATCAGAATCCACATTTTTGGCTTCCTGAAAAATCTGACCATCCTGAGTGAACACTCACGTGTAGCTTTATTAGCTGGAGCTGAGTGCCCCCCTAACCCCTCTACAGGCGTATATTTTCCTGTGTTTATCACTTTCCTCATGGTTATCTCACTCTTTAACTACCTGCCTGGCTCCTGTAGGCTTCTGCGTTTACAACTCTTAGAAAAGACACTCCATGAGAGAACTGAGAATGGAAATAACCACCCTCTGTAAACACCGCTGGGCAGCCCTTAATGTCTGTCTTAATGGACCCCGTGTTTGTTTTAAGCAGCCAAAATAAGAATTATCATGTTAGCCAGTACCTGGAGACATTCACTTCACCTCCTCACTTCAGCTATTCTTCCTGATAATGGGTGAGAACAGTGGACCTCCGGAAGAACAAGCAGCAGCCGGCCTTGGTGATCACATGCAAACATTTGAGACTCAGAGTGCATGACATTGTTCCAGGAACACTGAGTTCCCTAGAAACACGTGGAAACCACAGCACTCATGATGCTGAGTACTGCTGGCAGTGGCCCAGGAAATCTGGGGACTGATACAGAAAGCCCAAGACTGCTGGTTAACTCTCACCCACACCAATCTCTCCTCTTTCGGACTTTTTGTCATAGACTCCTGTGTTCTAAAATTGTTTTCATGTCTTCCCTTCTCCATCGATTGTAAGCTCCTAACAAACTCCTTTGATAACCTTCTCAGTGCTGAGCATAGTCGATGGGATTAGGAGGGGGCAGTTCTTAACCTGGGGCCTATAGATAAGATTCAGTCAAGGGCAAAAACCTAATTGAGTCATCAAAGCTTCTTATTGAAAAGGTGCAAATCCCGATAGTCAGGACTGGGAGGAAAATTTTAACTTTAAGGCCTTTGTAAAAGGGACAGCAGTTAATAAAATGGTTGGTGGCCTTGATGACACTCATCTAGTCTGTTAGTTCTCATTCCCAGTTTTTTTGTCATAGCTTTTATGCTTTTATTATAGTCATGGGTGAAACATGTTAAGCTACACAGGGTCAACTCATGCATCCCGCTGGTAGAGGCTAAGTCAATAGGGAGCAAATCGCCCTAGCTGGTTTGGCTCAATGGATAGAGCATCGGCCTGGGGACTGAAAGGCCCGGGGTTCGATTCTGGTCAAGGGCACATGCCCAGGGTATAGGCTCAATCCCCAGTAGGGGGCATGCAGGAAGCAGCTGATCAATTATTCTCATCATTTATGTTTCTCTCTCTTTCTCTCCCCCTCAACCCCCTTCTCCCTTCCTCTTTGAAATCAATAAAAAAATACTTTAAAAAATAGGGAGCAAAGCCACCATTCTTTGGGAACATTAGTCCAATCAAGTATAGCACCCTAATCATAATATCTAACCCCTACCTTGTCTGAACGAATGCTATCAGAATCTTACAGGCACCTTTAAATCAAGATTCATAAAACCTGAGCATTCTCCTTATCAGTGATTAATTTAATGACTTGCTCATAATAGCAAATGTAGTTCATTTGACATAAACTATATCTTTATGAAGTTCTGCAGGTTTGTGGAAGACATGTTTCTTTTCTAAATGTAACATAAACTATATGTTTACTAATTCATGCTCAATTTATGCTCATGAGCAATCTCACATCTAGTTCCAGAATGTACATTTTCCTCATTCGGAAAATAGGAACGCTATTTACTTATCTCCTGTCTTTGGACAATTTTTCCTTTCTTCTGGTTTCTCAAAGCCCACATTGAGTGGTTTCCCTATTCTAGCTTCAAGTTGTTTCACCGAGGAAAATGGCTCACCTGGGCCTAGGGACAAACCGATTTGCTATAATGTGACTCTATTATCACCTCTTCTAACCTCAGATGTACACCACCAGTTGCAGGATCTTTTTGCTTAACTGAGGAGAGTTAAACTGAATAATTCAGCTGGGCTTTACCAGCCAGTAAAGCAACACCTTCTCTACATGATCTTTTCTTGCTGTGCATATCAGCACCATGTTTATTGAGGACTCTGTGCTGTATTTTTAAAAATATATATTTTTATTGATTTTAAAGAGGAATGGAGAGGGAGAGAGGGATAGAAACATCAAAGATGAGAGAGAATCATTGATTGGCTGCCTTCTGTATGCCCCTACTGGGGATCAAGCCCACAACTTGGGTAGGTGCCTTGACCAGGAATTGAACTGTGTCCTCCTGTTTCATAGGTCGATGCTGATCCAGTGAGCCATACCGTCTGTGCTGTGCTGTCTTTTTGGTACTTTTCTTACACAGAGACTGCATACCTTCTCCTCCATTGTTTATATTTCTTTTAAAATTAGAAACGATCAAAAGCATCCTCATACCATCACATATTAAAAAAAAAATTTTTTTTTTTTGTCTTCTTACATTTCCTACATCTTCTCTTACTTATTGGAATTATTTGCTCTCTTAGGATCTGATTTTTAGTTTTAGAACCTTTCCAACATTGCCAAGTCTAATATCCTTTAGAGACACTCATCATAGAATCATACCTCTAGCATGATTAAAAACTTGCTTTACTAAATTCTTGGGCAGCATATGCTTAGAAAACTCTAAGATGGCATGGCCACATTCTATTACATCTGCATCACATAAAGAGCTCCTGAAAGTCTAAAACCGATGTGAAGCAATGACAGGCTGGCCATTTGACCTTCTCTAGGTTGGTCTCATGCTTGACTGAATTTACAAGAAGTAAAAAAAAAAAATTTTTTTTTAAATCTCTTGAGTGAAAGAGATAGGATTTGGTTTTCTAACGGTGTCTAAAAATAAACAGTGTATTGTTGGCTTAGGCACACATTTTATAACACACATCATGACGTCTGAGTGCTTGGATCTTCACCCTACTCTTCCCCAAGCATAATTTCGCTTAGCATGGCAACCTCCCTGTTTATATTTCCAGGTTTGACTGAGCAGAAAAGTCAAAAGACAAGATATACCAGGAAAAAGGGCATGCTTTCCTACATGAAAATGGAACAGGAAACACGACCGGTTCCTGTTCGTTTCATGACCTGAACATACGGACAGATCAAATGGCTCGTGCACTTCAGGACAAAACTTCTCGCTAGCTATCCGTTAAAAAGAGAAATGTAAGAGGAAACGTTAAGATATAATAACCCTTTGATACATAAGCTTCCTACTCGCAAGGGGAAAGGAGGACAAGGACTTTTAAAAAGTTAAAATGCATAGTCAATGTAAAGTCAGGAGCAGTGGTGCTTGGGAATGTACACTACCCAGTGATGCTTCTCGGTATTAGCTTGGTGGCTAGGAGCTATGGGTTATCAAAGTGAAAGAGCAATAAGGCAATGTACACGGGGAAGTCTAGAAGGAGATTTCGTGGAGTGAGCTGCAAACACAAAATCTGAGAGGCTTGGAAGAAGATGGGCAAGAATTTCATCTTTAAAAATATTTTTTAAAATACAAAGGTAGAACACGTTTACCATTTTGATGGAAAGTATTAAGTCAACTAAAGGATTCACCTGGACACAGAACACTGTGCACCCACCAGGGCCTTCTTCTTAGGAATAAGAAGGATCTTCAAAGGACTTCCTTCTATCAGTGTCCTCTATCATCATCACTGGTGGGCAGAAAAATGGCCCACAAAAATGTTCACATCCTAACCCTTGGGACTTTGAATATGTTATGTAATATAGCAACAAGGAGTTATGGTTGCAGAGGGAATTAAGGTCGATAACTTTAAAATAAAAGGGATGAGCCCTGACCAGTTTGGCTCAGTGAATAGAGCGTTGGCCTGCAGACTGAAAGGTCCCGGGTTCAATTCTGTTCAAGGACATGTACCTTGGTTGCAGACACATCCCCAGTAGGGGGTGTGCAGGAGGCAGCTGATCAATGTTTCTCTCTCATCGATGTTTCTTCCTCTCTGTAAAAAATCAATAAAATATATTTAAAAAATAAAAATAAAATAAAGGGATGAGCCCCGACCAGTTTGGCTCAGTGGATAGAGCATCAGCCTGCAGACTAAGGGTTCCCAGATTTGATTCTGGTCAAGGGCAATTACTTTGGTTGTGGGCACATCCCCAGTGGGGTGTGTGTGCAGGAGGCAGCTAATCGATGTTTCTCTCTCATTGATGCTTCTAACTCTCTATCCCTCTCCCTATCTGTAAAAAAAAAATCAATAAAAATTATGTTTTAAAAAATAAATAAAGTAAAATAAAGGGATGATCCCAGATTAGCCAGGAGGGCTCCATGTAATCAAAGGGATTCTTTAAAGTGTGAAGACCAGCCTTTGCTGGCTTTGAAGTTGGAAGTGAGTCAAGACACAGAGCATGTAGGCCACCCAGAAAAGCTGGAAAAGACAAGAACATGGATTCATCCTCTAAAGCCCCCAGAAAGGAAAACAGCCCTACAGTCAGACTCGGACAGCACCGGAAGATAACACATTTGTGCTGTCTAAGCCACCAAGTGTATGGCCCTTGGTTATAGCAGCAATGAGAAGCGGAGGTAGTAATTTATGTACAAGAACCCCTAACGATGCTAACATTCTTTCCGAACTGAGACGAGAAAATCAAACACTCGCTCACCTTTTTGTAGGTCTTTTCTTCGTTTTGTTTTGCAGGTGCTGCATCTCCACTGTCCCCAGCCGACGACATCTGCAAGAGAAAAGAGTCCCTATCTGAATGACATGTCCTCCCAGATATAATATGCCAATAACGCTGCTCACCGAGAGCATCTACTTTGGTTAAGGACATCTTTGTTGTTTATTGCAGCTATCTCCAAGAAAGGAAGAGATTTCTCAGAATACTAAAAAAAGAAAGAAAAAGAAAAATCAGTGGCCCCCAATCTTTCCAAAATAAGTCTTTACTTCTAAATCATTTTAGTAGCATACTTTACTCCATAGGAAAGATGCTATGGAAGTCCAACCCATAAAGTTTCTTTCTACAAAGACTTTATTTATTTTTTTTCCTTCTGGTTATGGGTGCTTCCTGTACAAATATCTGGAAAGTACCAAAAAACAAGAACCAGAAGACACAATTACTCAATTCTACGGCCCCTGGGCAACTCCGCCATTATGGCATATTTACTGCCATCTTGTTCCATTCATCTGCATACGGAATATATTATAATACCATCTCACCCAGCATTTTTCACTGGACATTTATGTGATAAGCATTTTCCCATCTGATTATAAAAATCTCATTGTAAGGATACATTTTTTTTCTAGTTGAAAAATATCACTGTGCAAACACAGTTGTGTGTTATTAAAGGATAGCAGATGTGGTCCAAGGACTTTGCCTGTACAAATGACTATTTTGTGTTTCTGTCTTTGTTCAACTTTAATGTTTTCTTGGACTAGATTTCTAGAAATACTAGGCCATTATAAAACTGAAATTTCTTGGCTGGCCGGTTAGCTCAGTTGGTTAGTGTGGTGCTAATAAAACTGAAAGTTTTTGGTTCTTGCCCAGTTGGTGTAGCTCAGTGGTTGAGAGTCAAACTATGAACTAGGAGTTATGGACTAGATCCCCAGTAGGGGGTATGCAGGAGGCTGATGAATGGTTCTCTCTTACTATTAATGTTTCTCTCTTTCTCTCTCTCTCTCTCTCTCTCCCTCCCTCCCTCCCTCCCTCCCTCCTTCTCTGAAATCAATAAAAATATATATTTTTCATTGAGAATTCTTAATACATAATGCCAAATTTATTTCTAAAAAGTATATACCCATTTATGCTAGTAGCAGTGAGTGGGAACTGATTTCATTACATGTTAGTAATCACCATTATAATTTTAATTACCTTTTCTAATTTGACAGGTTAAGAAAGCATCTCCTATTTTTTTTAAAAATATATTTTTACTGATTTTTTACAGAGAGGAAGGAAGAGAGATAGAGAACTAGAAACTTCAATGAGAGAAAAACACTGACCAGCTGCCTCTTGCACACCCCCTAACGGGGATGTGACCGAAACCAATGTACATGCCCCTGACCAGAATCGAACCTGGGACCTTTCAGTCTGCAGACCGATGCTCTACCACTGAGCCAAACCGGTTTTGGCACATCTCCTATTTTGAATCTGCATCTTTAAAATTGTTAAGGAAGGTTAACATTGTTTGCATATCTTTTTCTTTTTTTTTTAGCTCTTTGCATTTCTTCCAAAACTCAAAAGTTTTCTATTGTTTTGTCCATTTATCTAGTAAAGGTATTAGTGTTTTAGGTGGTTTTTATTTCCTTTTTGATTTCTATGTGTTAAGATTATTAATCCGTTTGCAAGCACGTTATGAATATTTTACATACTTCTATCTTTAAATTTGTTTTATAATATGACAGAGAAGTTTAACATTTTTCACACTCAAAACTATGGACTATCTTTTTGGTTTTTTCCAATGCTTTTAAATTTTATTTTATTTTTATTTATTTATTTTTTTAACAGAGAGGAAAGGAGAGAGATAGAGAGCTAGAAACATTGATGAGAGAAGGACATCGATCAGCTGCTTCCTGCACATCCCCTACCGGGGATGTGCCCGCAACCAATGTACATGCCCTTGACCGGAATCGAACCCGGGACCCTTCAGTCCGCAGGCTCTATCCACTGAGCCAAACCGGTTTTGGCGGTTTCTTCCAATGCTTTTAAATGAATTTTTTTTGGGGGGAGATATCAGATGTATTTTTTTCTCTCACTTCTTAATGATAAAGTTTTTCTTCATTTAAATTTTAATTCATTTGAATGTTTAAAACCAGTCCCGTATGTGTAAACAAGGGTACTACATAATCAGGGAACCTAGCTACGAAAGGCCTCATCTTAAATTGCAGGAAGAGCATTCTATGCACCAAGAACAGGTAAAACTTCTTTCTCATAAGCCATAGAAGCACATTGTAAATCTTGGGCTTTTAACAAACATATTGTAATAAACTTAGTATGTGCGAAACCTACGAACTGGCCAGCCACTTCTCCGCATTGGAACTAAATGCCTGAGTTTACTACTCACCCTTTCATGATCTTGAAGAGACCTCTTCCTATTCTTTCTCTGACCTCAGCTCTTGGAGTTACGCCCCCTCACTCCCTCTGCTTCAGATACCTTTGTTGTTTCTCAAACACATCAGCATGCTGCTGCAGTAAGGTTTCCATCTTAGCTATTCCCTCTGTCTGAACAGTCAGGCATAAACAGATAAGCATAAACCCCTGCTTATCTCCTTCAGGTCTTCGCTCAAATGCCAACTCCTGTTTGCCGCTTAGCTTGACCGTCCTATTGTAAACTGCAACCTGTTCAGCTCCCCCTGCCCTCCACTCCGGATCCCCCTTACCTCGCCTTCGCTTTTCAGTTTTCTGTGTCTAACACACTATCCAGTTTCCTTATTTATTATAAGTGGGGTGTTTTTTTTGTTTGTTTTGGTCTGTCTCCTTCTGAAGAATTTAATCTTCCCAAACAGGAATTTGAATCTGTTTTGTTCACTAATGTACTTCCAACACTTAAAACTTTACCTGGCACCTAGTAGGCGCTTAATAAATTGTAGAATAAGTGAATGAATGTATTGATAAGGAAGATAAGAAGATGCCATCAGCTCAATGTAGGCACACCTGACTCCTTTGGTCGGAGTGTTTTGTACTTGGGAGGAGAGCTGACCCCTTGAGGGGAGGTGATGACATTACTGAGGAGTCAGACACCATCAGTCACACTGTGTGCAGGGCACCTTGAAAGGTGCCAGGAGATGGCATCATTAGGTAGCCGGACTGGAATAAATGGCGATATTAACCCTTATAATGTTCTCCAACAATGAAAAGGAATTTTTAGGCTACAGTTATGTCAGTAGAAATAATCTCCATGTACGATTTAAATTATTTTTTAAAAATGTAAACTGTTACTGAATATGCCACATTTTCATTTTTCTGGCATAACTACTCTCAACTTATCTGAAAATTAATTTGGAATTATTAAGTTTCAAAAAAATGCAAAGGGCTCCTTGATTATTTTAATCAAATATGATTATTCATTGTTTTCAATCACTTACAAATTTTAAAGGCAAAATTGTATTTATCATAAGAAAAGCAAAGCATGTACTTTGTTTGAAAAAAATATATAAAGAAAAAAATAAAACTATCACCTTTAATCCAACTACCCAGAAATAATATTTGATCATTTCACCATTTAATCTTTTCTAAATGTGTGTGTGTGTGTGTTTTAACAAAACTGGAATCATATATTATATACAATTTTGTATTTGCCCTTTTCACTTAACCATTGTATCACTAAATATTATTTTGAAATAATTTCAAAAGTCTAAATAACAAAGCTATAAAATTTTATCATATTTTAATATTTATGAATAGACATTTGGGATGCATCCTATTTTTCTATGAAAAATTAAACTGTACTCTGTTTTCATACCAACATCATGTGTGCTTAGAGCTGCCACAGCTTCCCAGAACAATGACTACGGGGTAAAACACCGTATCTACTTTAAATCTCTACCACCATCAGGTATTTTCATTTAAAATCAAACAAAACATTTTGCCAATTTAACTGTGGGCAAAAATATCCATCTTATTTTGCATTTGAATGATTAATTGTAAGGATGAACATTTTGGTCACATTCATATCTTTATATTTTTCGAGTGAATTGCCTATACAAATCTTTAGCTCATTTCTATATTAGGTTGTATTTGTGTCTCCAATTTAGTTTGTAGTAATGATAAGAAAGAAAGGTAGGACTTTTCTCTAAACTTCAACTCTTTAATAGGGCCAACAGAATGGACACTTCCTTAAAGAATGCAATTTCAGAATAGACTGTGGAATCTTAGAGGGAAGGCAGGGGTGGATGGAAAGAGATCAACTAAAGAACTTGTATGCATATAAGCATAACCCATGGACACAGGCAACAGTGTGGTGAAGGCCTGGGATAGGGAGGGGGAGGAAAGGGAGGGTGGACGGGAGGTGGGGGGTCACTAGAAAGGGTGAATAAGGAAAAAAAGGGGACATATGTAATACTTTCAATAATAAAGATTTTTTTTTTAAAGAATGCCATTTCAGTAACTTTACTTCTAAGACTTTGCAGCTTTTAAAACCAAAAAACTTCAAGAGAAACTTTTTAAAAAAAACACCCATAATGAGGAGCTGACTGATTGGCATGAATGAAGGGCAGATGATGAGAAGGTCTGTTTTATCCTTTTGTAAATCACCCTGATGGACAGTAGGGAAGCAGAGGAGAGAAGTAGATCAACTTCTGTTTTGTTTTTTAAATTATTTACCTTAAGCAGCACAAAACAGATAATAATGATAACGGGAGGTCATGAAATGTCACCTGGATTCAAAGGTTTTTGTTTTGTTTTTTTCTGTGGGTGATGCTTAATAAAGGTCACAGGAACCTATGGACCAGGGCACCCGTGTTGGAGAGATAAACGAGATGCTTAGGATGACCCGGTAAACTGCAAACGGCTATTAAAATGGTTACAGTGTTAATTACTCTTTGTTCTTAGACTTGCTATGTTCCTGCACCAGTGAAGTGCATGACTTATAATTATGGAAGTCAAAGTAAATATGGGTTAAAAACATTGTTTTCAAAAACACTATAATCATATATATCTCTGTGTATACATAGGAGGAAGGAGAAAAATTCATAGAAATACTGGTGATTATCTCCAGATGATGTGATTACGAATGCTTT